ACATTATAGGCATTATATAAAATTAAAATAAAATGACTTATCTAGAGTTTGGTATGGTAAAATGGTTAACAAAATTTAATAAGACTTTTACCTTGATTAGATTGTGCAAATATTTAATAGAACAACATATTATTTTCAATTCAAATTTCTATAAATTATTTTATAAATATCTATGTTCGAATAAATATCCAGAGTTTAATTATAAATTGTATATTAGTGAGTTCTTGTTTCATACATTTTCAACTTGTTCAGCCACATGATATATTGATGAACTATGTATATTGAACTATGACTGAAACTATAGTCTATTTTTCAAGTTTATTACATTATTACAATCCATAATTCTTACATTCCTCAGGTAACACTTGGAGGTCTCAGCACAAGGTTCAGCAATCAAATTATAATATCAGTGGGAGTAGTACGAGAGTTCGTAGTACAACAAGAACAAGCTTACCAGAGTTAAATACAAAAGCTATTGACTGTATTGCTGCAAGGACCCGTTCTCGAACACCACAAAATTCACAAGCCATATCACAAGGACATAATAGTTTCAATTTATCGCTGACTAGTGGCTACAATAACAGAGAAGGGTTAACATATAACAACTTGGTACCAGCATCAAGTGCTACACCACTTACTAGTCATCCATCCACATCCAGAGGAAGAGGTTAGTTAATATATTTATTTACTTGAAAAGTGTTGGTTGCAATGAGATGTGATGTGTGATTTGAGTGATCAGCTGATATAATTCAAAAATTGATCGAACCAATATCTAATGTGTTAATATATTTATCTTCATTCATATAATTCAAAAAGTAGATATGAATGCATAAATCCTCAAATGATAACAATTAGTAAACAATTAATTAATATAATTCATATTGAGAACACTCATCAAGTACTTGCATTCATTTTTTTCAAAAAGCTAATAGAACTAGCATTTCAAGTTTTCAAAACTTAATCAATTTCGTACCATTGAGTATCAACAACTGTGCAATTACCTATATTAATATAAATATCGTTGATTTAAA